GGGTGAGCCCGTGGGCGTCGGGCACCGGGTCTGGGGAAGGGTCTGCAGAGCAAGTCCTGCAGAGCAGCTGAGGGAGCTGGCGGTGTTTAACCTGGAGAAAAGGAGGCTCGGGGGGACCTGATCGCTCGCTAGAACTGCTCGAAACGGGGATGTAGCGAAGTACAGGGCGGCCTCTTCGCCGAGACAGCCAGCGACCGGATGAGAGAACATAGCTCAAGCTGTGCCAGGAGAGGTTTAGGTTGGACATTAGGAAGAATTTCTTCACGGAAAAGGCGGCTGGACTATGGACGTGGCCGCCCAGGGAGGTGGCGGAGTCACCGTCCCGAGGGGTGTTTAAGGACGCGGCGCTCAGTGCCGTGCTCTGGTTCTCAGCGTGGTTGGTGTTGGTCAAAGGTTGGACTCGATGATCGCAAAGGTCTTTTCCAACCTAATTGATTTTATATTCTGCCTCTTGGCAGATGTGCTCCTGCCCCACCTCACGTTCATTCTGTCAGGGTTTATACACTATACATCCCAGTGGAAACACCACACTGTCTTAGATTGGCTTTCAGTGTTGAAAGTATTTTCTGCAAAAACAGTAAATGGCAAATTGGGAGTGATTACTTTTTTCCTAAATGGCAAGTGCTGAAAGTTCACTTCTTTAACAAAGAAGGAGTGTATGGATTTAGCCCTCCAGCTTTGAAGTGCTCACAGGTCCCACCTGCTGAGGTGATTCCAGTAAAGGAATGGATTCAACTGGAGGATTTTTTCCAGATCATTGTATTCCTGGAGAGCCCTTTTAAGGGGAAGAGTAGCATAGTGTCCTGTTTTCCAGCTCTTGCACATAGCACTTATTGATCAGGCTGTGGTAATCTGAACACAAATTATTTTGTCATAAGTGAAAAACATTCTGGGTAGTAAGGAAACTCCTGGAAAGCAAACGTTGATAAAATATTCGTTCTTAAGAAATAACTTTTTTTTTTTTTTTCACAGATGTAAGCATCTCTGTGTCATCTTTACAAAGCAAAGAGAATATTTCCTTACTGGGAAATAGGAGGCTTTATTTTGACACTCATGCCTTGGTATGCCTCTTGGAAGAAAAAGGTAATTTGTTTGAAGCAAGTAGCTATTTTTAATGGCATTTATGAGTGTTTTTTTAGTTTACAAATTTTGTTACTTTTCCTTGACATACAGTGTTACACCTTGATTTTTATGGATTTTCTGGGGGCTTATCTATATAATAGGTATACATATAGGGTTTTCTTCTGCTTCAAAAAGGAAACAGTAAGTTTAAATAACTTTGTTTGGAATAATTTTTGCCCTATTGGTAGTTAAAGATACTAAGAAAAAAAATTAAGACCTGAGAGCAAAGAACCCCAGAGCCTTCAAGGCAGTGGTTTAAAAGGGATTGATTGGATTCCTTCATAATTAGGATATTACACCTTGAATATGCACGAGTGTGTTACAATTGGATGGAATATGGGCTACATTGTACAGTGCAGCTTTTAGGATAGAGCATAGAATGCTATAAAAATAGTATTATGCTAAAATATAGATGAGGGAATGGATTATTTTTAATTCAATGCAGAGGTGGGAGAGGTACCCTAAGGTGAAGCTCAGTACAGCTGAAGTGACTTGTAACAGCTCTTCATTCCTAAAATGGAGAGATCCTAGTCCCCTTCCCCTGCCAGGTGGTTTCTTCTTTTTCCATGGGCCAGGAACTTCTCAGGAAATTCTCCAGCTCTTTTTCTTGTTTGGTATTCTGAAACACTAGTTTAATGAGTTGCTGGATCAGTTGAGTGAGCACAGGTCAGAGTGTCAGGAGGGGGGATAAGGGGAGAGGGAGCCTTTTAGTGGCAGTAAACTTTTATATCAGCTCAGCTGCTGAAAGTGACTTGCTCTCAGCTGTGCTTGCTGATGCTGAACTGCTGGTGAGTTTTAAATAATCACGCTTTTGCAAGTGTTTCTTTTCATAATGATTAACTCTTGTTCGTGACATTTTTACTCCTACATTTTGAGGGTGGAAAATGTGAAGGTATTTTTAGGGACAGTGTTTTAGTATAGATTCCAGGATATTCAGTTCGAAAAGTTTCTAATAGGCACTCAGAAGCTGGTAGACCTAAAATCAGGAAAATTGGCTGTGGTTTCAGTTGTTCAGTTTTGTACATCTTCAGTGGCACTGAATTTTATAGTATCATGAAGTAGCTGCTTTTCAGAGTCAGAATTCTTGCTTGCTCATGGAAATAAGCACATGTGAGAGATGACATTCCACAATAACTCTGGAGAACTCCCTCTTTATCCTGCTGATAGTATAATGGTGCTGTACTTGGAAGCAGTCATCCAATATCACAGACATGGTTTTGGGCTGGGGAAACTTGCAGGTACTGACTGTGTTCTATTGTTAGTGCTGGATCAAGAGTTCTGTGTTTTATTATCTTTCATAACTGACATTAGTTGTAATTTGGTGCTGATCATGAGCAAGTGGCATTTCTGTGAACTGTCCAGATTTGGATCTCTCTCTGAATGTCACTCTTTGTTTCGCTTAGGGTTCACTACTCAGCAGTCGGAGGTCATTGTATCTGCATTAGTGAAAATCATGAACAGCAACCTGGATATGATTTACAAGGACATGGTCACCAAAGTACAGCAGGTTAGATCCGAGGCAGTGGTGGGGTTAAAGTAAATTAAAGCCTTGTATGCCTACTAATGAAATATTTGTTCCTATCTATTACTGTTGTACACTACATTTTAAAAGTTTGAAGGTGAAGAGCAAACATTCCTCTGTATCTATTGACTGGTTCGTTTTGTCTTGAGTTTATCAGATAATTACCAAAGTGTTGTGATGGAGCTGGATATTTTAGTACTGTGGGTTGGTGTGCAAACCACAAGTAGTTTTTTTACTTTCAACCTTACAGTAACAGGACACAGAGTTACTGAGAACGCTTAGACAATCATAAGAGGTATTCAGTGCATGGATTTGGATTTCTACATTTCTTTTGTAGACTTGTAAGAAGGAAGTACAGATCCCCTCAGTTATTTACCATCCTCTTATGTAGTACTTGTTTGTTTATCTCTGTCTCTCAGTGACATTTATGTTGTGTTAGAATACAACCTCCTGGGGCTGCTCTGTGAGCCTGGGGTCACAGTCCCAGGTCACCTTGGAGCACAAGCTGCAACTGGTTTCATAGTAACCAGGCTGCTTGAGACCTGCAGAGAAAACAGCAGCTGCTCTCTCTGTAGTGTAACAGTCTTGGCAGAAGGGTGTCTCATTAAAAAGTGGGATACTGCAAAAGTGGATTTTGTGGCACTTTCCACCTAGGGAGGTTTCAAGCCAGTCTTCCTGCCTTTTAGATTGTAGGCAAACCTGCAATCCTTCTCTGTGCTGAATTTATTCACTCAGGGAATGCCATGTTAAAGGGTCCTTTTCTCCCATGGTTAGTTGTATTTTACAACAAGCAGTCTCAGCCTCCTTCTGTGCCTAGTTTTTCTGAATGAAAGTTGTTTTGTGTTGGATTTAATAGTGCTGCTGATGGTAGATATTTTCTGAGACTGTTAGATTTGACCTCAAGTGACTTTGTGCCATTAAGATGCAATGTGTAGATTTGTATGGCAGCTCAGGAAGTGCGTGCCATCAACACAGGGCCACATAGTAAATTTTTACTTCCCTATAGCCTTTGATTGCACAAGGTCTTCTGCAGAAAGAGAACAAAAAATTTGAAGATTTGGAATGTTGTGGATGAGCTATTGTCAAAGTATTACCTTGGTTAGATAAAACCTTAGGGAAAAACAGATTTACATGTGTGTGTATGTATAGGCATGAAGAAGAGAAAGAATATGGAAGATTCTGGTCTCTGTTTGCTGAGTCCACTGAGGAGAAGAGAGAACAAGAACAATCTGGAGACACTGAGGAGTAAGAAAAGAAGTGTCCATGCAGTACACTGTCTGTAGACTTTTTGTAATATGTCCAGAATACTGACCCTTTTTTTCACTCTTGTGGTCAGGCAGCCTGGAGAGGCAGCTTTAGATGCTACTTAGAACTAAAATGCTGCAAGGTGGAATTGCATTTTGTGACAAAACTGAAGTTAGAGCGCTGAGTCAGATTTGCAGGGGTCTTAGTCCAGAACCAAAAGTAAGGGACTACATATTAGGGGAAGATCTTTAGTAGAGAAGGCAGTTCTTATATGCATGTGTGGGTAGTGTAGGATCTAGAACAATGTCTACAGACTTTTCCATCCTTGAAAGTTGCAGAGAATTATTGTTTGTCTTCTGTCAGTTCAGTGTAATGGACTGAGAAGAGCAATTCAAAGCATCAGTGCGTGATTCTGAGCAGTGAGGCAGAGACTTCCTTGCAGGGAGAGGCAAAAAGGGAGGTAATTACAGAAGAGTATGGTTGTGCTGAGGAATTTTGGTCTGAAGGCCAGATTTCCTCATTTGGCTCAGAGACAGCTCTGCCTAATGCCTTTGCTAGCTTAAGAATTTGATGACTTGGAAGGAAATGTTTCCTGGGCTAATAATTGAATTATTCTGATCTGTGTTAGCACTGCCAATTTTGTGAGACATTACCAATGTTTGAGCCTAACTTGCTTATTTTGTCACTGTGACTCTCTCTTGCTTTCTGAAACTTGGATAATCAACCTGAAATTGCTGAATTAAAAATTTCAGAGCACCAAAATAGTCTTTCATATTTGTAGGCACAGATGAGGAAAAGTATTATAGCTGTGATATGTTCTGAGGTTCTTCTTCCTTCTTTTAAAGGAAATTGCACTTCAGCAAGTTATGTCCCATATTGCTGGTGTGAAAAAGGACATGATTATTTTGGAAAAAAGTGAATTTTCAGCACTTCGTGCAGAAAATGAGGTAAAAATTACTGTCTTGGAAAGTTCTATTCTAGAACTTGCTCTTTTTTTTTTTTTTTTAACAATGATGTAGAAAAGCATCTTGTACCAAAGGAGATAACTGGGGTGGGATGGTTTGGCACCTTCAGTAATGACCTTGTTGATGGAACAGAGCAGAGGGCACTTTCAACAGGTCTGCAGATGATCCAGAACTGCTGGTACACCAGGCAGTTGTGCTGCCATTCAAGGGGACATCAACAAGCTGGGAAAGTGGGATGACAGGAATCACATCAAGTAGAACAAATGGAAGTGCTCAGTCGTGCCCCTGGGGAATACCCTCAGGCACCAGGACAGACTGAGAGTGACCAAATGGAAAGCAGCTTTAGTAGAGAAGGCAGTTCCTACATGCATGTGTGGGTAGTATAGGATCTACACTTACCATTAATGTACAAGTGTTTTCTTGTATATCAATGGAAAGCAGCTTGGCAGGGAAGACCTGATGGACACAAGGTGCACCATGAGCCAGTAATGAGCCCTTGTGGCAAAAGCAGCCAGCAGCCTCCTGGGCTGTGTTAGGTGCTGCCAGTGGGACACTGCTGATTTCTGCCTCATGCTGTTGTCTGGAAGGGCACAGGACTGAGTAAACATGCATGAGGATTCATCTGTGCTTGGTTTGCCTGCCTTTCATATTATGGATTATAGTCGCTGTTACTGATGATGCAAATTCTGTACATTTCTAGGTAGTGTGGTTTTATATACAGTAATAAAGTCTAAATTTTTTTTTCATACTCTCACAGAAAATAAAACTTGAGCTCCAACAGATAAAGAAGCAAGTCACGGTAAGATACCATACCAATATAATTAAAAATTAACGCCTGTCTAATTAGCTGGAAAAATAAAAAGTGTCACTTTCAGAATTTCATTTTTTAAGCTGTGTTTAATTGTTATGATGCATGTGTACTGAAGTTGCTGTTGACAGTACACTGTGGTCTGCAGCAGTGGCACTTTCATGCATACCTCATTTATGGGGACAGGAAACTGACTAGTACAAGAGGCAAACCAAAATATAACTGAAGACATTTTTATGTCCTTAATTCAGATTCAGAAAGTAGCTGCTATATCGTGGTTAAGGCTGAGTGAAGTTCTGCATTTAGGGCTGCCTGTACATTAAAGATGCAGCATACATTTAAAATCACTTACATATTGTGGGGATTTGATTGTTTGGTTTGGTGGTTTTTTTGTTTCTTTTTTTCTCCAAAGACTTTCCCGTTACCTGTCCAGAATTTTAATGGCTTTTTAAGGCCACCAAGTTTGGGGCCATTATGTTTGGTCCTATTTGTTTGGGAGCAAATGATCAGTGCAAGAAAATAGGCTGTGTAGAAAGCTTACTCTGTTTTAAAATACATTTGGCATCTAATTTTTGAATTGTAATTTATTTTATGGTTTTAGTTGCATGTAAATGAGTTAGTGTAATCCACTAGTAGAGCATCAAGGATCTAAGTCATCTTTACTTAAAAGCTAGATGTCTTTATATTTTACTTTCAACTGTAAATTCAGTTCTCACAAGGGCATGTTATATGCTTGCTCATACAAAAAGACACAATGTAAAACTTCAAGGAAAATTTTTATTTTTTGATTTATTAAACTGTAATGTATTCTGTTGAAATGACAACTAAATCTATTAAAGTTCAAAATTCCAACACAGAAATTGAGTCTAATTATTGTTAATGCTAACCTAATGAGTTGGCATTGGCCTACTTGAGAAATGCTTACTTGGTTCCAGCAGTAGAATCTCCCAGAACATCAGCAATCTTTTGTTTCTCCCACATATTCATCTGATCAGCAGTTTGCCACATGACAAGCTGTCAGCTGGCTGGAATTCCTGCCAGGAGGTTGCATTAAAATGGCAGCTGTCACCAGGAAAAGCAGGACTCACAGCTATTGATAAAGTCAAATGCAAGTGTACAACTTAATAGTTTTAAAAAGTTAGATGTTTAAAAATGCAGTAAATGTTTCCTGACTTTTCAAATGTCTATAGCTTTTTCTGAAAATCCCTGCTGTAGTCTTTAGAAACTAGATTTTCTTTTACACTGGATGGTGAGAAACTTGCTTTGAACATTATTTTGAGCATCAGGATTGATTCATGGAAGAAATCCAACTTATAGGTGTAGCCAGACATGGGTTTCTGGATATCAGAGAGAGTTACAGGATATATGAAACATTCTCTGCATTTATAGAGGACGTGCTCTCAGTATAAATACTTATAAATAAGTATTGTAAATACTTAATACTTCTGAAAATTATATACCTTAATTGAGATATAAAAATAAAGATAAAATGTATTTGTCCAATTCTTTCTGCTTATGATAATACAGAAAATCTTGCTTGCTGCTTTATCAATTTTTCCCATTAGGATGAAATTAACAAAGTTCATGCAGATAACAAGTTAAACCTAAACCTGGAGAAGAGCAGAGTAAAAGAACTGGTAAGTTTTGGTTACTTCTAGGAACATCTCAACGCTTAGTAATCTCCAAATTTGGGTAAGAGCATCTCACCCAAAGAGCATTTTCCTACTAACCTGTAGTATCACTCAGCTTCACGACGGTATTAATCCAAGTTACTCATCCTTATGCTGGTATATGCAAGGTGCCATGTTTGGGTCTGTATGTCTTACCTGTTTTGATCTTGTTTTAATATCAGGATTAACACATTACAATTAAATATATTAGGTATTTAATCTAATATGCTGACTAGCTGCCTAGAAGGTTTTCTGTTTTATATTTCTTTATCTATTTACATGCTTACTGTTGCTTACACATTTTGTTGAATCATCATTGGAGATGTTTCATTTCCCTGTATCTAGTTATCTAGTTTGTCAAAAATTACCTCTTGTGGAACTAGTTATAAATTTTATTTTTTTAATTGTAAGTTGTCCTGGCTCATATTGCTTTTGAGCTTTGAAATACCTGGTAAATCTGAATTGATGTAATCTTACATTAGAGTCATGTAGATGTAAAATTAGAAGATTAATGAGTTCTTGCATTATGCACAGCATTCTAGAGTTCTGTTCTCATAGTTTGTTGGTTTTTTTAGTAGCTTTTAGGATCTCAATGAAGAGGTATTTTCTAAATTGAAGGATTTTTAAATAACTTTTTCTAAATTATTATTATTTCTTTCTCAGTCCTTATTCCTAGGTGTGTTATAAAGACAAGTTTATGTAAGTTATAATACTTATCTTCAATGTGGGCAATAAGAACTGTTCAAGTAGATATCATTTATCTTCTGTGTGTGCCCCTAGAAATAGTGAGTGATTAGTTTAGGTAACAGCTGTGTCGGTGACTCAGTATAATGACTAACAGTCTGTTAGCCCATGGTAGATGCTTGAATAAAGTACAATTTGAGCAGGTAGACTTCTTGTTTAAAGGTTAATACTTCATGGTAATGCTTTTAAAAAACATCATATGAAATGTAGTCGTGTATACGATAAGCTTTGCAACAATTTGGGCTTACAAAACTGCACTAGTGATAAATTAGGCAGCAGTGTTTTCTTGTATATTAATGTAGCTAGGATTGTGGAATCTGAACTTTGGTCTTTTGTGTAGAACACAACTTTATTTTGCCTCCCAGGAAAGGCAAACTGCATGTCAACTTTCTCTTAAAAAAGTTGACCAACTTTGTAGTCTGTTGTGCAACTACAATTTCATAGTTTATATGGAAACTGCTCTTTTTTTTTTCCTCCCTCACCATTTAATTGCAATGCATGAACAGAAGAGGAAAAAGGCAGCTGAGTGGGGAGCACGTTGTGGCACGTGCCGGGCTGGGGGAAAGATGTAATCCAGTATTTTCTATAGTAGGCACAGCATCATTGTTACATGGACTTCAATTGTAATGTGGCTCAGTACTGAATATCCAGCTTTCTGAGAAAAAAAAACTAAGGATATTTGAAGGTTACCGTGCATTCTTACTAAGTTACTTTTCAGAAGAGAAATGTCTGAAGTGTTAATTGTTTTAACTTGAAGCAATAAGTAAAATGTTCTTATCCTTCAGTTTGATGTGGAGTAAGTGCTTAAAGAGAATTTCTTAGTTTGCCTACATTGATATTGGCAGTCCTTAATATTTCAAATTTTAAATACTTTCTCTTTTATTTTCTATAGTTTATTATTTTATAGTCTCTTCTACTTTATTTCTCAGAGAATCCTACACTGCTCAGTGCACATCTCTTTCTGTTGTAATTTGACTTCAGATATGGTTTAAAAACTTGAAGTACAGTACAAAAACTTGTGTATATTCATGTGTTCATGCATCACAGTGTCTCTAAGCTTGGTGTTAAAAGCCTCAAGATGTATCTGACAAAATTGATTTTTTCCTGCACTGTGGAAAACGTGGACTTAAGGGGAAATCTCCCTGTTGAATTTCAGAGTGGGAGGTTTAGCCTTGTCCTTTCTTCTTTTTTTTTATCCACTATGTTTATGTTACAGATGTGGTGATGGCTTGCACTAAGAGGCCAATTTCACTGTCTTAAACCTAAGACTAAAATCCTTGAGTCTGACCTAGAGAGCTCTAAACACAAAACAAAACTTAAAGAAACATCCAGAAAGCTTGTAGAATATAAATAATTCAAAAGATGTGTATTTGGCTAACTGCATCTATTTAAACAGATTAACTATTTCAGTCCATAAAATTATTTTAATTCTCATAGTTCTTTTGAGAGTGATCAGTTCCTCAATGTGAGGTCCAATTCTTGCTTTTCTACCAAAACATAATTTTTTTTTATTATTTTATCAATATTCTGCCATTTTGACACTTTCAAAAATGGGGATTTATAAAAAATGTCTGAATTTCTTTTTTTTATCTCTGAATTTAGTGACTCCATTAATTGTAGACATGCTGTTATTTGTCTTTATATAATTTTCTACATTTGTAGCAGCCTGCTGTCTTTTAACTTCAGCTTGAGAAAAGTCAAAAGTCCAAACAGAGCTCTAGATCTTTAAGGAATGTTTTTCTGTGCTGAAGCATTTATGTAGATTAATCTGATTTTAATGTTAAAATTAGATAACCTTCTAGAGTGAAGGAAAATAAAGGTGACTTTCCACGTGGGAATGTCAGTAGATAAGGTTATTGCTGTTTAACTTGGGATTCTGAGATGGGTGCCTGATGACCTTAGTACTCTTCACTGGAAACTGGTGCTTTATCAGTTTTCTGTGAATAATTTAATTGCTCCAGTAGTGGGGCAGGAACCATTATAGGTTTCAAGGTAAATCAAGTTCATGAGTCAGAAAGCTAACTTGCTTTAAAGATATGATTCCTTATTTTGGATTTAACTTCTCCTTGTACCCAAATAGCCATAACTTTAAAATAAACCACAGCTTCTGGTGATCCACTAACAAAAGGCTTCACATGCAATACAAATTTTCTGTTTTTAACAAATATACCATGGAATGACAGGTCAGAACAATTCAAATTGTGAGTGCATATGGTGCTGGCTAAACATTTCGTTGATAGCTGAGTTTGGTGTGATTTAAGAGTTCTCCCCTTCCTGAAGGCAGCAGATGGTTCAGTCTCGATTGTGCTTGTATGCCAGAGTCACTGTTTAGAGTCATAGGGCCGTGCTTTTCAGAAATGCAGATCTGCCAGCCTCTCTTCCAGCTGCTTACTGATATATACAGATTTTGTGGAATATGAGTGTCTGAAGAACTTGTTGCACTTCATATTTTTGAAGTGTGCTTTCAAAAGGACAGCAGATACCCTACAATGCTGTCTCTCAAGTGCTGTCCGACAATAATCTTGTCCAGACTACGTGTTCTGTGTAATCTGAAAACAAAGAAACATGCTTTTAAGTGGGAGAAAAAAGGAAAAAAAGTTTAAGGACAGTATCATGTTTAACTTTTTTTTTCTCCTTCTAGTATTCACTTAATGAAAGAAAACTACTTGAAATGAGGACAGAAATAGTGGAATTGGTAAGAATTTAGCAGCTGATTATCACACAGCAAATCTTTTTGTACTTGTGTTATAGACCTTGTATCCTTTTTGGTTTTGGTGATGTCCTTAGGCACTTTAGCTTAAGTGTCTACAGAACAAAAAGACCTTCATATATATTATTAGACCCTCTGCATGTATATATGAGCTGTTCAGTAGTCACTTTGTTTTGAAACCTCATGCATGTAGTATTTTTTGTAGATGAAATTCCACTCACAATGTGAAATTAATTCTTTCCCCTGTCTTTAGGGAGAAACTCATTACTAGACTTATTTGCCTTTGTTTTAGAGGAGTTTTTCACCAAGCACCACTACTTCTCTTTGTTTCCTGAATTATCCCTTGGACGTCATCTAGCAGTAAATCATTAGCTGATTCACAGTGTTTCACTAGTGCTGATTTGAAACTATCAGCAGCTCAGCAGCTGTTGTTCTTAGTTTAAAAGTTGGATTTTTCAGTCTCTTCTGAGTAATAATTCTATCCCACATTTTTTTAGTGGAAATCCTGTCTTCTGTCATAATCAAACTCTAAATTTGTAGCTGATTTTGTGGTAAAACTCATCGCAAGACAAAGACGTGTTTTTGTGACACAAGACCAATTCTCAGTTTTTCTAATGATCCATAAATCTCTCTGCTCCAGTATGACTTTGTCACGAGAGGCTCTTAGGCTCCTCAGTAGCTCTTAAAATTGAGCAGTGACTTTAGTCAGTGGGCTGAATGACAGATTGAAGTTAATGTTTATGCTGTTAGATTGAGATAAGAAGGCATCCAGTTCTGCCAGTTTCTAGATTACTTTTTAAGGAACATGTAATCACATAAATTACCTGAGTTCACCAAATCATTCAGTTCCTTGGATACAATCAGCTAAGAAGGAACTTGTTGTCTTTGAGTAAGGTCTGTGTTAGCTCAGCTGGTTAGAGCATGATGCTAATAGCGCCAAGGCTGTGGACTCCATCCCTGTACAGGCCATTCACTGCAGAGTTGGACTTAGGGTCCTTGTGAATCCCTTCCAACTCACAATGTTTTGTAACTTCTGTAAGAATGAAAATTAACATGCATTTAAAGAGGAAGCAAAAATACACCTTGAAGAGATGGGTTATATTTCTAAATAAACTAGGAAGTGTTCAAATTGCATCATTTTGTTGCTTTGCTTTCTAGCACGCACAACAAGACCGAGCTCTGACCCAAACAGACAGAAAAATTGACACAGAAGTTGCAGATCTGAAAACAATGCTCGAAACGCACAAGCTTGATAATATTAAATACTTAGCAGGTAAGGAGTCTGGCGGTTGTCTCTGATGGTGACACTGCCAAACATTGTTAAATGTTTGGCAAACTCTCAATTGGCTGTATTTATAAAGGCCCTTATTTAAAAAAACCAAAAAAAAAAAAACAACAAAAAAAACCCCAAACTTGAAATACTCTTAGGCAAGATTAGCAGCCTTATTTCTGTACTTAACCCAGAAGAAGTTTCCTGTGATTCACAACTTTATTTTGCATGGAATTTTTTCAGGTTTTTCTCCTTCTTTATACTGTTAATAACAATATGTGTGAGAAATCTGAAAGACTGCCTGTTAACAAGGATGACAAAGTTCTGTGCCTGGCTTAATTTATGTAAGCAGTCTGCTGTATGCATTTCTAGGATTTCTTCATCCATCTGATGGAGATCTCTGTGCAAAAAGGAACATTTCAGTTTTTCTGCCTATTCAAGGCCACATATTCTTTAAACTTCCATATTTACAAGTACTGGGAGAAAATACTATATATGTGTGCTGACATTATTGCCCTAGGTAATTTGAACATTTTGACATTTTACTACTGAGTGTGCAGTACTATTAAATGAGGTTTGCAGTAGAAAATTATTCTGATTTAGATTTCCTGACTATTTTTTCATAGTGGGCTTTGTCAAAAGTACATAAGCCTGATAGTACTAGTATTTCAGACATACAATTTAGAGAGAACCAATAAAATGGAAAATAAAAGGTGCTTTATTAAAATGAGAGGAAATTCTTTTCCCTACCATTCCTACTCAAAAACAGGTTGAACTCTACATGGAAGAAAAAATAATTTAAAATAATTTGTATTGTGTTTGAAGGACTCCCATTGCAAACAAAGGCAAAAACATTTTGTGTTTATGTCCTGAAATAAAATTTTTATTTCATTGCAGTAGAAATTTAAAAAATGTAAAACTAATAAGCCTTGTTTAAAATGGCTTTCATTCATTTGTTTGCTAAATACTTGACTGTGTTTTATTAATCCCATTATTTATTACCTTGTTTTACATCTGTAACTTGTTATATTGATCTTTTTGGAATGGTAAGCAAGTGAGGGTTTCTTTCAGCCTTTTGATACTTTTCCAGCATTCTTTTTTTTTTTCTCTCCTTCTTATTTGTCGATTTTTATACTCTTCCTACCTTGAAATGGTTTGTTGTAAAGGAAAAACTTAATCTCTCACATGGGCAGAAGTGAACTTTTGCTGGGGAAGTCACTGAACTTTTAGTATTGTGGTAAGATGTGTACATTGCTTTCTGAAGAGATGTTTTGAGAGGTATTGATTTAATGTTATTTAAAGTCAATATTAATGCCATTTTCCTTCCATCTTTATTTTCTTTCAGGTTCAGTATTTACATGCCTTACTGTAGCACTGGGATTTTATCGTTTATGGATATAACAAAACACGAATTTAAAGGGACTTCTTTGCCTGAGATTCTGAAAAAAGGAAGTTTTTTGTCTTTACCTGAATTTTTAACAAAATCTTGACTGTTTTATTTATTATTTTATAAAGCAGACTGTGTTGAGAATGTAACCAAAGACGTGCCTAAAAACAAACTGTGCACATACCATGCCAACATTGAACCTCACCTCTGACGGAAGCGCTTCTGCTGTTTCCCTCCGTTCTGAGCTGCAGGGCACCTGCTGCTGCCTTCGTGTAGGCAAAGACTGGCATTCCTGACAATGGATGGGCCTACATGCTGCAGAGAAAATCAATGGAATTTTGTTCCATTGCCTGCTTAGGCAGGTTGGCCAGACTCAGTTGCATGTGTTGGACTGAAGTATTTATTATTAGTGTAAAACTGAAGCTACGTGTTCTGTGGCTTGGAGGCACTCTTGTATAAGTGGAGTTTGTGCTAACTGAATCATGCTCACTTCCCTCCCTCTAACACTTGTTCTTACAGTTACTATGATCAAATATTTGTTTGGCTATTTTTGTAACATAGCTATCAGGTTTTTTTCCAGATGGCTGCCCAATCAGTTGTGTTCATGAACGAGTCCTGTGTAAAGATAGCAGTGTTTTCTGCTGGTTTTGTTTGTAAGGTATTTCTAGAGATTTTTGTGACTAACTTGCCTTTGGTAGATGTAAGTATCTGATACTCATTCCATATGCTAATTGCTTACCTTATCACTGTAACTGGAAGTTGAAAATGCAGTAACCTACACTGGTTGTGTTAATTTGTCCTTAGGTGATACAAAGTGTCTCAGGTGCTGCCTTCTTGATGAGAAGGAATTGATGCTTCTACAAAGGAAAGAGGTTTTAAATGGTGGTTATGAAACAGGCTCTTAGGCAAGAGAACTGCAGTACCAACAGTCTTCTGGGGGGTTTACTGTTTCATTTCTTAAAAAATCATGTTGATTCTTCAAATTTGGAACTCTGATAGTGGTGACAATAATTGAAGCAGCAGTGGACACCTGTAAAAATGTTAAACCCACATGAATCAGGAAGTGCCACTGAAAGCAGTGAAGATGTCCAGTGTATCCAGGTATCTGTCATTCTTGCACTAAGGAGATGATTGTTTTAGTAGGAGAGCTGCCATCTGTGTTCCTTCACTTAAGGGAAATTTTCCTTTCTGCTTAGGGGAGGAGGGGAGCTTAGTTTTTGCACTGGTGATAAATGCTGTTAGAGCACAATAATGGCTTTGCTAAATGAAAGTAAAGCTTTTTGGCTACTTTGTGCCTGTATTGTAATAACCATTTAACATTTTTGTGGTTGGAAGTGCCAACTTTGATCATGTCCAAGTTCGGAGGAAGAGATGGATGCCTGTAACAGTACTGTACTGGCCTGAAATAAAGAATTTTGAATATTTCATAGAATATTATGCGTTTTCATTAGAAAAGCAACTTTATTTGAAAATTGTCTCTTTGGTTGAAGGTAAGTCACTGCTCATATGAAGTCTTTTAAGATAAGAATTTGCAAAGTCAACAGCCCCTCCAGGATGCTGAAGAGAAATAACATAAGGAAAATTAGTATTGTAGACTAACTTAACAGCCCCTCTAAATTAATGAATTTATACTTGAGAATGCCATGTTTTTGTTTAAAAATTTACTTTTTTATATTAAGTTACAGGATTTGACACCTTCTCAAATTAGAGAAGCAATAATTCAGCTTTTAGAATGACTTTGCTGTTGGTCTTATCTTCCCAAGGCAGATGTTTCTATATATGTCCATGGAATCAGTACATGTTGGCCTGCAGGCTTGTGCATCTGACAAATAGTTGCTAAAATAAGTGTTTAAGACTAATATTATACATAGGGTCTATCCTTCTAAAAACAGATACTGTGCAAATAAATTTCTATTTAGGGCAGGTGGAAGGAGGAAGTGAAAGATTATAGAGCACCAGCATCTTGGAATTACCAAACTGTCAGCAAACAAGCACTTCTTGGTGTTTAAGCGAGGAATGAAGTCAATGTGTCATTCAGGAAAAATACACTATAAATAGAATGTAATTATTGTCTCCTAGTCCATAAAGTCTTCAAGGGTGTGTAAAAGCTTTTTATTCCAGTCTTTGTGCATACGCACAAGATCTTCTCTCATTTACCCTGCTTACCACTGTGTCATCATATATACCACATGTATTTATTGGCTTTCCAAAAATTTAGAAAATCCCCTCCATATATTTCCAAACACAAATCTGACAAAGAGATTTAAACTCAAGGAATGAGCATTGTGGTACAGGCAAGAATCTGTCACAGAATCACAGAATGGTTTGTGTTGGAAGGGACCTTAAGCATCGTCTTGTTCCACCTCCCCTTCTGTTGACAGGGACACCTTTCATGGACCAGGTTGCTCAAAGTGCCGTCCAATGTGGCCTTGGGAATGGCCAGGGATGGACCATCCACATCTCTGGGCAACCTGCACCAGTGCACCACCACGCTCACAGTAAAGAACATTTACTAATACCTCATCTCAACTGGTGCTCTTTGAGTTTAAAGCCATCACCCCCTGTCCTGTCACTACATGCCTTTGTACAAAGTCCCTCTCCAGCTTTCATGTATCCCCTCTTCAGGCCCTGGAAGGTGCTGCAAGGTGTCTCCAGAGCCTTCTCCAGGCTGAACAGCCCCATCTGTCATCCTTTCATAGGAGAGGTGCTCCAGCCCTCTGAGCATCTTCCTGGCTTCTGGGCTGGCTGGAGCAGGCCTATGTCCATCTTATTTTGGGACCCCAGAGGGAGATGCAGCACTCCAGCCTTGGTCTCACCAGAGCAGAGTGGCAGAATCACCTCCTTTGCCCTGCTGGCCATGCTGTTTTTGATAGAGCTAGGATACAGTTGGCTTTCTGGGCTGCAAAGACACAGCTCTTGAATGTTGAGAGTCAAATGATCACTGAAGTCATAAATAAAAGCTCTAAGTTGGCAATTTTCCAAATTAATTTCTGTAAGACTCTGTATCATGCTGTATGTTGTGTCTAATTAGAATCATGAGAATTCTAAATGTACAGAGATATTTTTCTGCTTTGATTTTTAATTTTCAGAGCTCTGTTAAAAGACGCAAGTGAAAAATAAATGAGATTGTTGTACCAAAGAACCACCTCAGCTGAAACCTGCCATAGCTCCCCAGTGATTCAGAAATCGCAGAATATTTGCAGTTGGAAGGTACCCACAAGGATCATCAAGTTCAGCTCGTAGGTGAATGGCCTGGATGGGGATCAAACCCACAACTTTGGCATTATTAGCACCGTGCTCTGACCAACTGACCTGATCTCATCTATCTGTTCAGTTCCTACCTGGCATAAAAAGACCTAAAAAAGAATAAAAGAAAAAAAATCCAGAAATGTTAGATCTCTCAGGTTCTCTCTAAGTCAAGCTGAAGCTGAGGTCTGGCCCTAATTTACTTTCAAGAAAAGTCCATTGCTATTATGAGCATGTATGAGTAAGGGTCTGTCTGTACAAACACTAGTTGTGAGTTTTTCTTGTGAATTTCCCCATTTACATAGCAAAGACAGGATGTTCTTTAAGAATTTTTTTCTGGAGAAGGAAATTTAGAATCATCCCATTTGGTGGAAAGCCTGAGTTGCATCAAAACTTCTTTGTGTTTTGCAGAACAAATTCAGATCCAGAGTTCTTACAAAACTGTATTTACTTGTGATATGTTACTGGGAGTATCCTGAGTTTGTCTATTTTGTTTTCCTTCTTGTTTTCAGTAAAAGTCCACAAGGGAGCAGTCTCCCTTTCACTGGTATGTATTAGACAAATTGTTTACTTCAAATATTTTTTGTCTATTAAATCCCATGCAGTCTAGCCCCTTCTCCTTTAGAAGTGTTTCTTGCATCATTCATTTCCCAGAATGTTGTAGAGTTGTGCTTAAAACCACAAGTTGACAAATGGAAACATATTTTTAATGTAGATATGAAATCTGCTTCAATTTTACTAACCACAAATGTTTTGGTTTACTAGAATAACACTTCTCCTAGTTGTGAATGTTCACTTAAATGACCTTTCCAAAAATGGTGAAATCCTGTCTCCAAGCAGCTATTAACAGTACTTCAAGATGTTTTGAGTCATACTGCTTTAGTGGACTTTTCTCTTCTTACTCTTGCTACTATCTGCAGACCTTGCACAGGAAAACTGATGAGGTTTTTCATGTGGTTTGGGATTTTGGGTTTTTTTAAATCTGCAGAGTTAGGTAAATTCATGCAACTAGTTCTCTTGAACTACTGCAAGATGTGAGAGCATGACTTAGTTTTGCATCTCCGCACTGAGTTCCCAGGAATCATGTAAACTACCTTTATTATGGTTTCTAAAAATTATCAGAACTCTGTAAAACAATTCAATGTTTTACAAAACCTCTATTTGAAGTCTCTTCAAGAAATAAGTACACAGTAAAATAATTTTTAATGTTTTAATATATTTGAAAATTATTTATTAGTTTCAAATATGACTGTTTTCTTTTAAATTGCTTTTCCTTTATTTATATATATATTGAATTTAAAGGGGTGTTTGTTGAGGTTTCTGTTGTTGGGTGTTGGGGTTTTTTTTAATTTTAGAATAAAGATTTCTGTATAAGCAATACAGTTCCTTTAGTCTCTAAATAGACAGTTCATTTACAATCGAATACGTGTCTGGAGTTTTCAGGGTCACTTTGAGCAAAAGCAAATGCATACTCCCTTGGAGATAGATGGCCTGCTGTGTCTTTGTTAGGAAAGCTTCCTTTTGCTTAAAACATATTTTTTACCCTATTGCTAAACATTTTAAAGCTGTGGTGTTGCTTCTTTATTTTAGGCTTACGTTGTATGTCAGAGCAGTCACCCCTGATCCTCAACATGCAGTGTGAGAGGATCATGGAGATCATAGAGGAAGACAGTCAGCGTTTGCACAATATCCCTTTGAAGTCTGCCCCTTCCAAGGAAGAAGATTCTGGGTTTTTTGGGAGGGTGCCTAGTTGGTATCAAAAACAAAAGTACTGGAAATGAGTAACAAAATATTGCAGCAAATAAATATCAACCTTGGGCCAATGTTTACCCCCATTGTGAGGCATGTCAGTGCGGTGTAACATTTCAAATACCCCACATGCACCCTGTCAAACTCTTGGAAGTTCATTAGGTTCCCTGGTGTATTCTGAAGTTATATCAGCTTTATTCGAGTCATGAGTAATACTACTCATGAACAATCTCTTCTTGTTGGATGAGTAAAAATGTAGTGAGGGGAAAAAAGAAGGGTGGTGTGTTGTTTTGGTTGTGGTTTGTTTTTCTTTCCCTGCGGGGAAGTGGCACATGTTCTGTGAGAACTTTAAACAGAGCTGTGCCGTACATGAATATAACAGTGGCATATTTATAGCAAGCCACTGAATCTGGTCAAATGCAGCTTGTATACAGGGCTCCAGGGTTTACATCACAACCAACAGAGACAGTGATAGTTGTCTTGAAGGGGGTCAGGAATGGAAGCAGGGCAGGTTTCTCAGCATGAAGGGAAAACTCAGCATTTATACTGCTTGCACTTCAATCTCCAGCATGCTTTGGTCTTTCTCCATTTTTAGAAACCCTGTGCAGGACTACACATTGGGAATACATGTGACTTCATGAATGGGCAGCTATTAAATGTGTCACCGTAAATTGTGATCTTGTCCAGAATAATGGGTCACTCCAAGTCATTCTCCTCTCTTTACCCAGGATCTGTTTTCTTGTGGCAAAGGTATACTATGTTTTATACACTCACAAATTCTTACAGCAATGCAAGAAATGAATAAATACAAAGGCCACTTGTATTTAAAGAAATGAATGCAAGAAATTAATAAATACAAAGGCCACTTTTAAAGGCTACTTACCACAACCAGATCCAGATAGTGGCAGGAGATTTTAAAAATCTTTTATATCGTGGCTTTAACAGAAGTCGATTCCATTGCCTTGTGATTTACATGCAGAGTTCCCTTGTGTTCCTTGACTCCAGCTAAGCCAAGGACCTAACCACCTAAGCAAGCTCTTCACTGAGCATTTGAAATGAAATAAAGCGACAGGCCTCTGCCTATTAAAAACAAAGACCTCTGCTGGTGCTCAGAAGAGACTGAGCCCACCTACTGTGGATCTTGCACATCAATTTCACATTTTTGTTCAGTTGGGTTTTTGATGTAGTTAGTTACCTTGTCTCATGTGTTACATTGCACCACCACTCAGAAGGACTGGGCTCTGAGAAGTTTTTTAAGAAGGAGCTCAAACTATATGGAAATTGAGGGGGGGAAGTGTAAAATATGGCTCACGCTTCCAAAAGTCCACAGGAAAATTATGGCAGAGATGGTAGTATTTTCATTCCCTCTAAAAAGGAACCGTGTTTAAAAATAAACTGAGTTGACTTTTTTTTCTTTAATCCTTCTAGCCACCTTCC